GAAAGGCAAATGGGAAAAACCCATAAAACAGCAAACGGCCACATAATGCAAAACTATTTAAAATTAAAACGGAACAGTAGAGAAAATCCGATCAGAATGACAAAATAAACTAAGCATCCACTGGAAGGGTAATCAAAGACAATCAGGTCAACATTTTATTTTGCACTACAGACTGTTTCATGAGGGCACATCCTCATCATCAGGTGCTCGGCTCTGTATCTATATATATATTAACTAAAGAAACTTTCGTTAATGAGCTATGTTTGATACGATATATAACATCTTGTTCCTATATTTGAGCACTGTATTATTCTATTGATTAACACATTATTTACGTTTGCTAAGCATCAAACTTGATTTGAATATTTTTTCCGATATTTACCGGTACCAGCTGCTATACAATAAGCTATTACGTAGCTTAAAAGTATAGTTAGCTTCACTAAGTCTGACCCCTCAAGTTTTATTGTATATCGTAATTTTCTCTGTACTTGTACTTGAGACCAAATAAAACACAAAAGCATTTATTGTGACCTTATTTATTTACTTTAAAAACATACCTTTGGAACGGCGGCACACACAAAAGTGGTGCGTTCAGCTTAAATTACAAAAATATAAAAATGAACCAAAGATGGAGCACACTTCTACACAATCATTGATAAAATATGCAAATAAACACGGAAAAACTGTACATACAAAATAAGAAAACACAAATTAAAAAATTATACCATTGAAAATTAAAGGTATGTAATTGTTATACAGGCATACTCCTATACAAATATACATTTGTAAATATGTATATTTGTAAGGGGTCGCTCCCAAATATCAGCATTTTCACAAGTGCACAAGCATTATGCAGGGGGAGGGGGGGGGGGTAGACAAATTTATACGCTTTTACATATGCATGAACTTTTATGACCAAATTATAGTGCAATCATGGATATAACGTACATTAACTTATGTAAAGATGAGCATGAAATACAGTAATTTACATTACAGTAGTTAGTTTTTTTTATTGCAATATCCATGGGAGTGGGTAACAGTGAAAAGTATGGTTGTACGTTTGTGAAAATGTTGATAGTTGAGAACGAGCCTTAACAAAGCAAAAGGTGACGAAAGAAAAAAATAAATAAAACAATAATTGAAGTCGAAAAATTCCATTAAACTACAACAAAGATAAAGATAAACATGAACATAATAAAAATTTCAATGTAACAATACATTTGATTTGACATTATGGATTTAACAGACTTAATCTCTGAACGCTTGCACCATGCAATCTTGGCATAATTTTTACAGTATTTACCTTATTCTGGTATAACCAAAAATAAAACGCAAGCATTTATTGTGACCTTATTCTGGTATAGCCTTGTATACCTGAAGACATTGCGTCCATTGTTTAGTACAGTTACATTTGACCAGTATTCCAGAGAATTTACATTTTAGGTTATATTATTATTTTCATATTTTAAATACATCATGAACTCAAAAAATCTGACGTACTCAAACTAAGAAACTTTCGTTGATGATGTTTGATACGATATATAACATCTTGTTCCTATATTTGAGCACTGTATTATTACCTATTGATTTATACATTATTAATGCTAAGCAGCAAACTTGATTTGAATATTTTTTCCGATATTTACCGGTACCAGCTGCTAAGCTATTACGTAGCTTAAAAATATAGTTAGCTTCACTAAGTGTGACCCCTCAAGTTTTATGTTATATCCTCATTTTCTCTGTACTTGTACTTGGAGCCAAATATAAAACAAGCATTTATTGTGACCATATTCTGGTATAGCCTTGCGTCCATTTTTTAGTACAGTTACATTTGACCAGTAGTCCAGAGAATTAAAATTTTAGGTTATATTATTATTTTCATATTTTAAAAGCATCATGAACTCAAAGGAATCTGACTTGTACTCAAAATTACGTAGAATTCATGGAATTTCGATGGAAGTTTTTGCTCCTAAATTCAATTTTGCAAAGACAGACTCAGTGTTAGACGTTGGATGTGGATCGGGTGACTTCACCTATCAAATAGGGGAATTTGCCAACTCAGTTGTAGGTAGGTAAAGTATTTACAATAATTCGTAATATATTTAATTATTAAAATTATATATATAGGTGTATATATATACT